CGCACCAAATGTTTGAAGGCTGCATCGACAGGTCAACTTACTGGCTTGCTGGCTGTCGCCACACACCCCAGGTGTGCTGTGTGTACAGATGCTGTGTGGAGGGCCCCCCCGGAGGTGTGCAGTGAAGGGAGGGTCTATTCATCAATCAGCAGCACCCCCGCAGCCTCACCCTGCCAGGGAGCCTCCGTAAAAATTCCCGGGGCATCTTTCTACCTTGGTCACAGCGACCCGCTTCCCCAAGCATGTCCCTCATAGGCCACATGGCGTTCCCATTTCTCCTGCTTTCTTTCTATCCACCTTCCCCCTTCCTGAAAACTGCCCCAGCATCACCGCTGGCTCCACCTCCATCCTCTCACCAGCAAAACATGCAAGTTGTGGTCAGTTCACTTAGTACTTGCCTCGGGTACTTTTGTTTTCCTCACTGTTGCTCTGCCACCAAGACCAGTGGCCGGTATCCATGTGGGCCGCCAGGACAGTTGTGCAGGTTGTTCATCGCACAACTCGAGGGCCAGGCACACTGAAGTCAATGTGAGTCAGCTCCTGGGGGGTGGGCAGCACACAACATGGGTGCCCAGATAGGGCAGCCTTGCTGGAGGTGCCGTCAGTCCCTTTGCAGGGTGGTGGTTCTTGAGGAGAAACGTCTTACCCTACCTCAGTGTCTGAGAACATTTGAGACTCTCAGAAGCCCTGTGGGGTTTACGTACAAGTTGATGCCACACGACAGGCACTCCTTACCTTACAAATGGCTTTGAGCTCCCAGAGTTGTGTAATTCCGGCCTCTGGGATTGGGCACAGGTTTGTAAAGAAACACTGCTCAGGCCAGGTGCGGTGGCTCACGCCTGTAATCCCAGCACTTTGGGAGGCTGAGGCAGATGGAACATGAGGTCAGGAGATTGAGACCATTCTGGCTAACAGTGAAACCCCGTCTCTACTAAAAATACAAACAATTAGCCGGGCGAGGTGGTGGGCGCCTGTAGTCCCAGCTACTCGGGAGGCTGAGGCAGGACAGTGACGTGAACCCGGGAGGGAGGAAGGGAAAGAGAAAGAAAGAAAAGGAAGGAAGGAAGGGGCCGGGCGCGGTGGCTCAAGCCTGTAATCCCAGCACTTTGGGAGGCC